TTTTCATGACAGTTTACATTTAACATTATTTTGTATTAGTTTCAGGTGTGCAGCATAGTGGTTACACAATCATAATTTACATGTGATCCTTCCAATAAGTCTAGTACCTGCCTGCACCCTACGTAGTTATTACAATATTATCGACTATAGTCCCTGTGCTGTACTTCACATCTGGTGACTATTCTGTAACTACCAAGATTTACCTCTTAATCCTTTCCCCTTTTCATCCAGCCCCTAGTCCCCCTCCCCTCAGTCTGTTGTCTGTATCAATGAGTTGGTGAAAACAAGCATTTCTTAAATGGACACAAAAACACTAACAACAATAGAAAATATCAATAAATGGGACTTTATGAAAGTTAAGAATTTTTATTCATCAGAAGATGCCATTAAGAAAATGAAAAAGCAAAAAGCAGCCTGGCTGGCATGGCTCAGTGGTTGAGCATCAACCTATAAATCAGGAGGTCATGGACTCAATCCCCAGTGTGGGGCATGCAGGAGGTAGCCAATCAATGATTCTCTCTCATCAATGATGTTTCTATCTCTCTCTCCCTCTCCTTTTCTCTCTGAAGTCAATAAAAGTATATATATTTTCTTTAAAAGTGTGTTTTTTGAAAAATCAAATCACTAGCTGAAAATATATATTCCCTCTCTTTCTCTATCTCTCTCTCTCCATATATATATATATATATATATATATATATATATATACACATACACACACACATATATATATTACAAAGGACTCACATGTAGAATATATTTTTAAAGTTTGTAATTCAATAAGAAAAAGACAAACAACTTAATTTTTAAATGGGCAAAAGTCTCAAGCCAACATTTTAGAAAAGACAATAACCAAATGATCAATAAGAATAAAGGAAAATGCTCAAAATAATTACTCATCAGGAAAAAATAAAATTAAAACCATCATGAGGAATTACTATACATCCAAGCAGATCAGAATTGGAACAGTGTTCTTAAAGTGGACCAGTAGTTTTATTGCTAGCTTTACCCAGTGGCGGATAAGTTTCTATTGAATGAGTACAAAAAAGTTTTACAAAACATCATACTTTTAAAATATATTAGCTTGTAAGAACATGTAATAAATAACTTAAAATGCTATGGGTATTTAATTTTAAGGCGTGCCTTAACATTTATGTAAAACACTGTGTAATATGGGAACACAAGAATGCTCATGATCCACCCGCAATGGTTTAGGCACCTTCATAGACTGAGGGAGTCTGGATTTTTTTTTTTTTCCAGTGAAAAGTGGAGGGTTTGGGCTAAGGATTCTGCTCTGAGAAAGCCCAGGACAAGTTGGAAACTTATTATATTACAAGATGTATCCACATCCTCCTACTGAAAAAGACTGGCTCCATAGGAAGAATCTTCTGTTGCCTTGAATTTGTGCCTCTTCCCCCCAACATGCACCACACACACAGGACACACCTGCCCTGACCTTGGTTCCAGACCAGAGTCTACATCCTGCTAGTTCAGGAGAAAACCCCAAGCAGCGTGGCAGGGCTGCCATTGCCGCTTCTGTCCACCAGAGGCCGCCGTTGCACAGCACATGGAGACCTCAGGCCTTGGCCAAGCAGGGCCTTCTCCTGATGCTGCACTTCTGACTCAGGCCGCCAGATGGCGACATGCCGTTTCATGAAGCAGCTGTCTCGCCCTGGGTCTGCCTAACTGCCCCCTCCACCCCCCACGCCCGGCAGTTAAAGCAAACTGAGCCTCTGGCTGGGAACAAAAGCATGGGGTTCCCAGCCCAGGCTCTGCCTCTCTTAGTGTCTCCATGCCCTCCAGCCTCAACTTTCCCGTCTATAAAATGGCCATGACCATTCCTTCCTTCCCTCTCACAAAATGATTTTGAAAGTCAAATAAGCAAAAATATTTAAATAAATAAATAAATAAAAATTAAAAAAAAAAACTATTTTGGGTTTTTATTTTGTTTTATTTTCTTGCAAATGTTACCTATTTCTGACCACTTGCAACCCTACAGGGAGTGGACACTGGAGCATCGAGCCTCCCCATCGTCCCCCTTGCAACCCTGCTGCCCCCCCTTGCACTCCGTTCCCTGCTGCCCTGGGCCTCTGTGATTTCAGTAGCTGGTCCAGGCCTCCCCGTCTCTGTCCTGGAAACAAGGGGAGGGGACAGTGAGGGAGTTGCACGGAGACAGAGCAGTTTTTGCACCCCTCCCCCCTAATGGCTTCCTCCTCAGACATTAAATGTCGCTCTCCCCTCCTGCCCCCTGCTCATCTTTAATTTCTTCATCGATTTTCATTAACCGCTCCCCTTGGCTCCAGCACAGAGTGAACTCCTTACTTGAAAAACTAAAACAGGAGGGAGGGGGAGGGAAATAGAAGGAAGCTCTGTTGAAAGCAAGATGGTCTCAAGTCTGGAGAAGGCAATTCCTGGGACCCTTGGAGGTTGTCTGAGGCTGTCTGAGCACCAGCTCCCCCACACACACACCCTTATGGCCCTAGATGTGAAGATTCCTGCCCCTCAGATTCCCAGCCTCCCCCCCCCCCCCGGATCAGAGCCCTCCCGTCCAGGAAATCAGGGGAAGGCTGGGACTCTGACGTTATCTAATTAGGGCACATGCTGTGCCTGGTGGGTGGGGGGCTGGCGAGAGCCCCTGGGCAACCCACTGCCCCAACCTGTCCCTGGACTTCCCTCTTTACCCTGGACACTGACCACAGCGGCCTCAGCAGAACCTCCGGAACCAGCAGTCGGCAGCCCCGGTCACGAAGGGGTATTGGCAGGGCCCGGACAAGAGAGGGGGGGGGGGGGGGAGGGACAGAGGCAGAGGGCAGGGGACTCCCGGGCCCTTCCTGGGTGTCTAGAACTCCCCACAGCTTCAGAAGCAGCATCATGTGGGGGATGAGTGTGGACATAGGCCTCCCGACACGGGATGTGAGTCCCGTCCACAGAGCGGGCCCAGCCTGGCTGGCTCCGGCTCAGCGGAGCTGGCATTTAATCACTGCCCGGCCGTGTATGAGCCCTGTGTCCTGGAGCAAGTCTCTCGGTTCTCTGAGCCTCCCCTTCTTCTAACCGCACCAATGGGTTCACAGTTAAGTGACACAATGAAAGGAGGGGCTTATAGAAGGGCTGCCCAACGCCAGTATTCCATACGCGTTAGTTACTGTTATTTTCAGTGGTGATGATACCCTGACGACCTGATAAAACAGGGCCCATCATCACTCCCTACAGAGAGCCACACAGAAAACATGTTTTACTCCGCAGGCCGCGTGGCCTCTTCCGTCTACTAGGGGTGTCGAACTCAATCAGAGAAGGGGCCAAAATCTAAAATCCAGCCTAAATCGCGGGCCGAATGGTTTACTGAACAGTCATAAACTGTCATTTTGATGGAAACGCAGCGGAGTGCAGTGATGACAGCGCGGTGCGGGCCACATTGCAAGGCCTGGCGGGACGGATTTGGCCCGCGGGCCTTGTGTTTGACACATGTGGTAGACAAAGACAGCACTCATACCAAGGATCGCCGCTGTGTTCCAATAAATCTTTATGACTCGAAATTTTTGAATTTCATACCCTTTTCATGTGATACAAAATGTTATTCTTCTCATTTTCCCCCCCAATCATTTATAAATGAAAGAATATACGTTCTTAGCTCATAGGTCAAACATATCATAGCAAAGGAGGCAGCAGGCTGACTTTGGCCCACGTCCATCGTCCACTCGCCACCGCCTGCACTAGCGTGTGATTTCTGTTCGCTGCCGTTCTCCCAGCACCTAAAACAGTGCCTGGCAAATAGCAGACAGTCAATGAATATTTGCTGAATAGGAACTAGGAGGAGCTGTGCGATTTGTGTAAGTCACTTCACCTCTCTGGGCCTTGGTTTCTTCATCGGTACAACGGGGATGTCTGCACCCTGAGGCCAACCTCACCTGAAAGGAGAACGCCACCTTGCAAACTCTAGAGCCAGACAATGTAGTTGCTGTTTCTGACCACACGGGGGCTCTTCTCAAGGAACTCTCTCCCCCTCCTGACATTCCCTCTCTGCCAGGCACCCAGTGGGAATGAGAGTTGCCTGTGTACAGAAAGAAATCGGACCTGTAGAGAGGAATCGCCAGATAGGGATACCTTCTCCTGTGCCATTGGCCCGGCCAGCCTGGCTCAGTGGTTGAGCATTGACCTATGAATCAGCAGATCAATTGGGCTTGTGGGCTTGACCCCCAATGGGGGCGAGCAGGTGGCAGCCAATCAATAATTCCCCCTCACCATTGGTGTTTCTATCTTTCTCTCCCTTTCCCTTCCTCTCTGAAATCAATAATATATATATATATTGCCTCCAGCTTCCAGCCTTCTGGTGAAGGTTTTCCACTCAAAACAAAAAGCCCTGCTGTTTTTTCCCCCAGGTTGAGCATTTCCTGCTGCTTTTCAAACTCTCTATAGCCAAAACATAGGAGAACTTATGATTCTAGTCAGACTTATTTTCTCCTCATATCATGCCAACCAGCGTGAAAGACAATGAGCGTGCCCCATGGGCCATTTTACCACTGCCCAGGGGAAGACTTTACAGAAGAAGAGAGGACGATGCAGCACACAAAGCTGGAGACTCCGGATGTGTTTACTCATGGATGGTGTCTGTCTGTCTGTCTGTCTGTCTCTCTCACCACCGCCCCCTGCTCCGTTTGGCCATCTCAGCAAACACCAAGGCTTCCAACCCCACGGGAAGGGGGCACTCTGCCCAGAGGGCTGGCACTCGCTCCTGCACCACGTGGCTATGTGACCTCAGACCAATCACCTGCCCATTCACGTCCATTGGTCACAGCATTCACATCTGTACCACGAGCAGATCCCCCACCTGCCCTCCAGCCTCAGCTAAGAGCATCTCCGAGCCCGTGGTGCTGGGACCCTGCCCCACACTCTGAGCCCATTTGGAAAGAAGCAGGATGATCTGCCCAGGAGTCCAGACCAAACTTCAGAAGCTGGAGGAGAATGCAAGTTCCCAGGACCCGCCCAGCCAGCCGCACTCTTACCTTCTCCAGCTGGTGGACCCCCTCCTCCACGCAGCAGATGGAGGCCAGCGTGCGGAGCGCCTGGGGGTACAGACACCGGAAGCTGTCCTGCCGGCAGACCTTGAAGAGTGCTACTACCCCACCCTCCTGCCAAGAAAAAAAAAAAAATGGCACATGACTTTACCGTGTGACTTTTCCTGGGGCTGACTCAAACAAATCACTGACACCTCTCCTCACTCGGCAGGGATGTTTTGGGTCTGTAGGGTGGCAGAAGATGGCACCCCAAAATATGCCACTTTGGCATAAGGATTAGTTTGAACTGAAGACATTGGGAAGAAGCAGATACAAAAAAAAAATTATATCTCCCAGTCTTCTATTTGCCTAAAATCAGAACATACACTGAGTGGCCAGATTATTATAATCTCTGAACACACAACAAACTGGTCATTCAGTGTATATCCTATATAATAAAAGGCTAACATGCAAATTGTCTCCTCAACCTGGAGTTTGGCCAGCAGGCAAGCCAGCCAACTGCCCATATCCCCCCTGCCTTCCCCCTCTCCCCACCCCTGCCAGGTTCGCTGGACCCCATCCATGCACGAATTCATGCACCAGACCTCTAAAACACACACACACACACACACACACACACACACACACACACACACAGTGTACATTTATTAAATTATCCCCCTTCTCCTCTCTACCAGGAAGGACAAAGTTAACCACCAGAGATAACTTCAGACCTTTATCAGCCTGGAATGGCATCAGAGGAATCTACACAACAAACTTTCCTACCGGCCTTTATCTATTGTACAATAGGTTCCCCAGATATTTGTCTTCCCACAGTTTGCTGCCCCAGAGACTCCAGGTCCTTTTCCTTTGTCTTGTCACTTCTTTAAAAATACATTATTCTTGCCAAAACTGGTTTGGCTCAGTGGTAGAGCGTCGGTCTGCGGACTGAAAGGTCCCAGGTTTGATTCCAGTCAAGGGCATGTACACTGGTTGCAGGCACATCCCCGGTAGGGGGTGTGCAAGAGGCAGCTGGTCGATGTTTCTCTCTCATCGACGTTTCTAGCTCTCTATCCCTCTCTCCTCCTCTCTGTAAAAAATCAATAAAATATATTTAAAAAATAAAAATAAAAATACATTATTCCTTTGCTAAGATTTCAATTCTAACCAACTCTGAGTTAATCATCTCTGAGCGCTCCCAGATGTACGAGCTAATAAAATGCTATTTGTTTTCCTCTTGTTAATCTGTTTTTTGTCAGCCCATTTCACAGGGCACAGAGAACCTCAGAAGGTGGTACACAAAACAATTTTCTCCTCTGCACACACACACATACATACATCACACTCCCATACTCACATGCATGCTGCAGTAAAATGCTAGCTCCAGCCGAAACCAGTTTGGCTCAATGGATAGAGTGTTGGCCTGCGAACTGAAAGGTCCCAGGTTCAATTCCGGTCAAGGGCATGTACCTTGGTTGCGGGCACATCCCCAGTAGGGGGTGTGCAGGAAGCAGCTGATCGATGTTTCTCTCTCATCGATGTTTCTAACTCTCTATCCCTCTCCCTTCCTCTCTGTAAAAAAATCAATAAAATATATATTTTTTAAATGCTAGCTCCAGCAACAATGTTGCCCTTGAGAGTCTAAACTCGAGGTGGGAGTCCCCAAATGCTCTGGGGTTCAAGTGCCAGGGACCTGGGCAGACGTTTTGCTAGGACCAGGCTCAACTCCACTTAACACTGCTCTCAAGTACCTAGTAACTAACTCCCCCTATGGAGCAAGCCTGTAGTCACCTGAGATAGCTTCTAGAAATAAGTCTGAAGCAGGTGGAGGGAGCTGAAGCCTAGAGGCCCACTGCTGGTTCTAAACCTGCCGCAAACACCCATTACTTCTCAGGTCTTTCCAACCATAACAGGCAGAAAAGGAGTTTTATGCCCTAGCTGGTTTGGCTCAGTGGATAGAGCATCAGCCCGCAGACTGAAGGGTCCCAGGTTTGATTCCGGTCAAGGAGACACACACTCACAAACACACACACACACACACACACACACACACACACACACCAGAGGAGGAGGAGGAGGAGAAGAAGGAGGAGAAAGAAAGGAGTTTTATTTATATTAATACTATAGTTTATTCTTGTTTCGTGCAACTAAAATCCAGATGGGTGTAATAATTCACCCCAAATCCACATTATCCTTGTTTTAACTCCTTCACTCCTGTGTGTAAAAGGACAAAAAACAACCACCTTTAGGACCCACCAGCCTGGCTCTTGAGATGAGCCTGTACTTTTCATTTTGTGAGAGCTGCTCAGGCAAACACCTTTAACTTGTGAAGGCTTCCCACACAGACTCCTCACCGGATGAGTCATCGCACATCATCCCTCCCCCGGCACATCATAAAGACAAGCTCCGGGCCCTTTTCATTCGCAGGGTTTATGGCTGATCACTGCAGGGACCCAGATGGAAGTGCCTCACTGCGGGGGCGTGTATAAATGCTGGCATCTTAGAATCAGCTCACAGTGATTCTTAACTTCTTATCCCTACTTCCGTTTGAGGTAGTTCACTTGTTGGAAAAGGGCCTATCTTAGGATTGGTGCATTCATTCAAGCAGCCAAAAAGCATGAATGGTTTATTACGTGCCAGGCTCTGTGCCGGGCACCGAGCACACAGCCTCGGTCCCCGTCCACCCTGAGCTCATGGTCTGGGGGACGATGAGTCAGGGGGAAGGCAGGTTGTGTTAAAGGCGGGAAGAAGCCTGGGTAAAGGTGCAGTGTCATGGTGTGTGTGTGTGTGTGTGTGTGTGTGTGTGTGTGTGTGTGTGCAGGGTGCAGGGTGCAGGGTTAAAGAGGCACGGAGCAGGCACTCTGATTCCAGATGCACAGCCTCACTCCGATGAAAACCTGCTCTGAGGACAAGCACCCGCTCTGAGTCCGTGCTCCACATGCCCCTCCCTGCCTCCCTGCTTTCCCACCGTCCCTGGAATGTCTACTAAGGGCCTCACTAAGAGAGCCACTGACGTAAAATCAAATTATCCTTTAAAGTGGGAAGAAAAGAAACCCTGCTGGTCATTAATGACCTCCCTCCAGATTAAATATGTATGTATGTGTGTTTCATAGGTATGTATACTTATATATGTCTGTGTTTATACTTAATCATGTATATATTGTATAAATATTTTATTTTTTATTTTTAAAATATATTTTATTGATTTTTTACAGAGAGGAAGGGAGAGAGATAGAGAGCTAGAAACGTCAATGAGAGAGAAACATCGACCAGCTGCCTCTTGCACACTCCTTACCGGGGATGTGCCCGCAACCAAGGTACATGCCCTTGATCGGAATCGAACCTGGGACCTTTCAGTCCGCAGACCAACGCTCTACCACTGAGCCAAACCGGTTTCGGCATAAATATTATTTTATATACATAATAGAGATAGATGATAGATGATAGATAGATAGATAGATAGATAGATAGATAAATTATAATAGACTAGAAGCCTGGTGCATAAAATTCGTGTGGGGGCAGGGGTGTCCTTCAGCCCAGCCTGCACACTCTCCAATCTGGGACCCCTTAGGGGTTGTCCAACTGCTGGTTTAGGCCCAATCATACAGAGATCGGGCCTAAACCAACATCCCTCTCACAATCCAGGACTGCTGGCTCCTAACCACTTGCCTATCTGCCAGCCTGATCACTCCTAACAGCCTCTGCCTGCCTGCCTGATTGCCCCTAAGCACCTCTACTAGCCTGCCTGATTGCCCCTACCACCTCTGCCAAGCCTGATTGCCCCCTAACTGCTCCCCTGTCAGCCTGACTGCCCCAACTGCCCACTCCTACTGACCTGATCACCCCAACTTTCCTCCCCTGCTGGCCTGATCACCCCTTAATTGCCCTCCCCTGCCAGCCTGATTGTCCCCTAACTGCTTGCTCTCCCTTACCAGCTTGATCTCTCTCCTAACTGCTTGCTCCCCTGCCGGCCTGATGGCCCCTAACTGCCTCTGCCTTGCCCCCACCGCTGTGGCTTTGTCCAGAAGGAAGTTGGACATCTAGAAGATGTCTGGTCGACCCGGTCTAATTAGGATATTACCCTTTTATTAGTATAGATAGGTTGACAGATAATCATACATTAGATAAATGATTGATTGATTGATTAGTAATCATACATGAGATAAATGAAGATAGATGATTGATAGATAGATAGATAGATAGATAGATGATAGATAGATAGATAGATAGATAGATAGATAGCTGTAGATCATTTATATATGGAATAGCTAATGAAGAAATGGTGCCAAAAAATGCAGGCCGAAAGCCAGGATCAATGTGGCCACCTTCCTTTGGCTCAGGAAGCACTGAGCCCAGCATATATTTAAGCCTCTGTTCCCATTTGCATTTGCTTCTCATTACATCTTTTCCCAAGCCTATATGGGGGGGGGGGGGGGGTGGAATGGCCTTCTTAGCATTTTTAGTTACTGGGAGAGGAAGGGGGGCAATTCTGACCCCAAACTGAGGGGATTCTTCAAATCCTGGTTCTGCTGCTGGTTAACTCTGGCCAAAAATGGGGTCATGATACAGCTACATGATGGGGTTTTGGGGGGAGTCCATAAGTTCATGTAAATGAAAGGGGCTAGCACCCAGTCTGGACCGCCGGGTGACGGCAGGCTATGAAGAAATCCTGGTTAGAAGGGTGTCTCTTAACTTCATGAAGGGTGCTGTCTCAAGTGCTGGGATATGTGGGAGGGTGAGAAGGAGTGAGACAGTGAGCGAGGGAGATGGATTAGTGGCAGGGACCACCCTGAAGTGCCTGCCGAGGTCCCAAGAGCAGCACTCATCTTCGCGTGGAGCCAGGAATCGCTGGAGCTAGCAGAATCGCACTGCTGGCTGGAGCTTATTTAATTTTATAGAAAGCTCCGGGCTCAGAGCCCAGTTGTATATAGTGTGTGTTATTCAGACAGACTTGGGATAAGCTACCAAAGCCCTGGGCTGTGTAGACTGGTGGTGGGAAGGATAGAGGAGATGGGATGCAGGGTAATCTTGACAGAGCACGTGGAGTTTTCTGTGCTTTGCACTCAGGAAGGGATGGGGAAAACTGGGCTTGCTCCGTGGCCTGCAGAGGAACCCAAGAAGTTGAGATGATGGACCTCAGACAGGCTGTCACATCGTCTCCTGGAGGCAGCTCATGTGGATGGAAGACCCAAAGGCAGATCACACTGGGCCCCAAAGAGGTGGGTGGAGAAGGCCAGTGGGGGGTGCTGCCCCACAGTTGTTTCAATCATGGGCACATCTCCTGGACAAGGACACTGAGGTGCTGTGCAGGGTATACCAGGTACTTAACCACTGTGAGTCCCATATCCTTTAAAAAAAAAACAAAAACAAAAAAAAAACAGAGTCACTAGCCCTACCGACCCAGTTTGGCTCTGTGGATAGAGCATCAGCCTGAAGACTGAAGGGTCCCCGGTTGGATTCTGATCAAAGGCACACCCCTGAGTTTTGGCTTGATCCTTAGTAGAAGGGGGCAGGAGGCAGCCAATCAATGATTCTCTCTCACCATTGATGTTTCTATCTCTCTCCCTCCCCTTCCTCTCTGAAATCAATTAAAAATTAAAAAAAAAAAAACAGGGTCACTGATATCCATCTCAGAAGTATGTGTGTAGACAAGATATAACATGTGGATAGTGCCCACACTCAAAGGACCATCCAAATCTTTAAACAACTGCTGGTCATAGTTCTTGAAAGCCCAGGGCTGGTGTTGGGATTGAGAGAAGTTAAATAGCTGAGGAGTGGGTCTCGGCAAAGGCCTTTCCCCACTGCCTATTTAACACAGAAAATATTTGGGATGGATATTTAACCAGACTTAAGTCCTGGTCCCCGGAGAAGACTAAGGCCATCTTCAGCTCACACCCCTCTCTGCTTCTGAAAGGGGAGCACAAATGTAGGCAGTAGGGGCCGTCTGCAGTGCATGGAGACAGAGCTCAAGCGCCCAGGCCCTGAAACAGAACAAGACATCTGGCCAACTTTCCTCCTCAGAAAAACGGTAGGGCCTGTTCTTTCCAAAGTGTAAAAGCATTTCAGGCTCTACTGGTTTTGCTCAGTAGTTAGAACGTTGGCCTGAGGATGAAAGGATCACGGGTTCAATTACAGTCAAGGGTGTGCATGTTGCTTGCAGGCTCGATCCCCAGCCCGGGTCAGGGCACATGTGGGAGGCAACCAATCAATGTGTCTCTCTCACACCTATGTTTCCCTCGGGATATCTTGCCCCGTCCCGTCCACTCTCTATAAAAAAAAAAAAAAAAAAAGAGGAAAAATATCCTCTGGTGAGCATTAACAACAGCAACAACAAAAACTTTTCAGACCCCACGGAGCTATTCAGAAGAGTTCCTTGCCCCTTCCATGCCTCAGATCCATACCTGGAGCTCAAACCCAGCCAATATTTGCAACTAATTTTGAAGGAGAAAATAGTTTTCATTCTAAAAGAGAGTCAGCTAAATTCCGTTTGAAATTAATTATTAAACTGCCATTGAGTCAGTTTTAGCCCCAATTCCAGTCCCCATAGCACTGAGCACTGAACAGACCTCTGCAGAGTCAACAATCAAGCTGAGTGACTGGGTCACAGAATCCTTGGAGAGGACAGATCTCATGCTAACCTCACTGAGCCCTTCGCCCATCAACACCACAAGCTTTCCAAGTCAAAGCACACCCAAAGCACTCTCTAAGAGATGGTCCCCAACCCAAGAGGCACATTAGAGTCATGAAGAATGCAAAAATATCCACCCCAGATCCTATTCTGGACCAGTTAAGTTTGAACCAGCTGATTAAAGCTCCCCAGTGATTCTAATGTGTGGAGTTAAGAACTTCTGAGTCACACTTTGGTCCAAGAATCTGAAAGGCCAAAGACTGAACCGGAAGTCACCATTGCGGGCTCTAGGACCATGAACTATAAAGTAAAGAGACGTGGGTTTGAATTCTGACTCCACTCTTTATCATTGTAGGACTCTGAGCAAATCCCTCAAACCATTTCTTCAACTAGAGATGGAAATAACATGACACCTACTTCATAGGATGGTGTGTGATTAAAAAAAACAACACGTGCAAGGCATTCAGTGCAAATGTCAGCTATTGCTGTTATATAGAATTTACTGCTCCCTGATCAGGGTTCATAAGCATTTACCCTACTCTTCCAGATGTCCTTAAGGGCTTGAATCTGAGGGTCTGGCCATGCCTCAGAGTCACCCATAGAACTTGTTAAATGCCCAGTCTTATCCCAGGACCTCAGTGAATTTGGGGTGGAGCAAAAGGATCCGTGTTTTCCAGAACTCCCTGGGAACCCCAGAGCTGGAGCATCTTCCGGTGACTGGCATCCTAAGTCTATTGAAGGGCATTACTTTGCTTCCAGTGAGACCACTGCTTCTATCCCCAAAGGGATGTCATTTCTCAAGTAGAAAAGTACAAATGGCCGAAACTGGTTTGGCTCAATGGATAGAGCATCAGCTTGCAGACTGAAAGGTCCTGGGTTCGATTCCGGTCAAGGGCATGTACCTTGTTTGCAGGCACATCCTCAGTAGGGGGTGTGCAAGAGGCAGCTAATCGATGATTCTCTCTCATCGATGTTTCTAACTCTCTATCCCTCCCTCTCTCTTCCTCTCTGTAAAAAATCAATAAAATATATATTATTAAAAAAAAGAAGAAGAAGAAGAAAGAAAAGTACAAATGAAGCAGGCCCTGGTGAGGTCCAAAGGTTACCAATTACCTCTGTTTGCCCTACATATTTGGACCTTTAGGGCACAAGCATATTGATCATGAAGTTAATGAATTATAACTCCCACTGTAATTGCTGAAAACCATTGTCTTTTCAAGTGTGTCTTTCTCTTGTGGCTGCAGACATTTTGAGGATGCAGTCAGCAACCTGAGCTTGGGTTTGGGGTTTTGTGAGATACGTGGAGACAAGGAAAGACGGTTAGTTGGTTTTTATAATAGGCATCATATATGAAGAAAGATGGTAGAGCAGTAGTTCTCAACCTTTCTAATGCCGCAACCCTTTAATACAGTTCCTCATGTTGTGGTGACCCCCAACCATAAAAGTATTTTCATTGCTACTTCATAACTGTAATTTTGCTACTGTTATGAATCATAATGTCAATATCTGTGTTTTCCTATGGTCTTAGGCTTGTAGCGACCCACAGGTGGAGAACTGTTATCAGGGTCTCCTAAGATCATCGGAAAACACAGATATTTACATTACGATTCATAACAGGAGCAAAATTACAGTTATGAAGTAGCAACGAAAATAATGTTATGGTTGGGAGTCACCACAAAATAAGAAACTGTATTAAAGGGTCAAGGCATTAGGAAGGTTGAGAACCACTGTGGTAGAGGGTCTGAGGACACCTAGACATCAAGCAGGGAATGAATCAGAGGGGAAACTATTAAAGATAGAGACACCAAGATCCAGAGAGGGAAGGTGTCTCTTTTTACACAGCAAGCAAATGCGAGAGCCAGGATAGCTTCCCGAGCCAGTTATTCCCCAAAACCAGCTTCCTTGCACTCCCCCCAGGCCGTCAATGTTGGCCCCCCACCATGAAGCTCACCTTGGCTATTATGCGGCACAAGGGGGCCCCCTCCTGAGTCAGGCTGAACAGGTTCCCTGTGGTGGATTCCGTGGTGTAGATATTGTCCGAGGCATCGATTTTTCTCACCAGTGCCTAAGAAAAGAGAGCAGAGGTTCACAGTTACTCACTCCATCTACCCTCTGCTCACCTTCCTTAACAAAGCATCAGTGGTTTCATGCTCTTAAGAGCCCTTTGGAATCTATAACCCTGTCCCATCCACAGTCCTACTATGGGGTGATGAGGTTCTATCTTTGGGAAAGATATGAGCCAGCATGAAATCGGAGCTACATTTCAGAAACATGGGATCATTTCAAACCCCTGGGGCCTAGATGCCCTGCTCCAGGGGATCAGGAAATACTGATGGTCTCAGCAAGTACCATTTTGTTGTGCAACTGACTCCGAAGAGGACAGAAAAACACCAGTTAATTTTTTTTTGAGGGGGGGGGGGGTCTGTAAGAGATCAACTAAAGGACTTGTACGCATGCATATAAATGCATATAAGCATAACCAATGGATATAAGTCACTGCGGGGAGGGGGGGGGATGACAGGTGAGGGCATGTACTCAGGGGTAAGGGAGGCCAGGGGGAGGCCAATTGGGGGGGGGGGGAGGAGACATATGTACCACTATTTGTAATACTTCAAACAATAAAATAAATAAATAAATAAATAAATAAATAATTATAGATAGATGAAAGAGATATATGTGTGTGTGTGTGTGTGTGTGTGTGTGTGTGTGTGTTAAATAAACCATCATGTTTAAAACAGAGCTGCAGTGGTGACCAAAGAAGCTCCTTATTTTTGGATAGCTATTAGCCAACAGAGAACCCCAGCTGGGTAAGGGGTTAAGTCAAAAGAAGCACTCTACAGTAGCTTAATGGGGGTTGGGGGGAGGGGGCACGCTTGCACTGGGCCTCTAGCCAGGCCAAAATAGTAGCTCTGGTCCTGTCCAAAAGTGGGTAAACTCGGTGAGGAATGTCGCACTGATCAAGGCTGAGGAATCCCCGGCTAGTGGTGAGAGGGCTGGAAACACTAAACACAGGACCCAGGGAGGCCTGGGAAGAAAACAAATAGTAAATTCATCAAGAAGGTAAGAACATTATTCCCAGAAGAGCTAGGTTATTTCTAAGTAAAACCCTTTCAGGTATCTTAAAACCACTTCATATTCAGCCATTTGCTTTAAAGCAGGTTGCTCATTTATAAATGATTCCTGCCTGCTAATTAATGCTAATTTCCTGGGGGGGGGGGGTGTTTTGTTTTTTTTCTGAGAGGTGGGGAATGGAGATGGGGGAGAGCTGCCTTTGGGGGACCTCATGCAAGAAAGTAAGCTCTTCAGAGATGGGTGCTCTGAGCAGCCACTTTTGCACTTTCAGTTGCCATGTTTATTTTAAAATAGTAAAAGGATTTCGTTTTTATCAACTCTGGTATTATGGAAAAGATACTGAGTTCTAGTCCAGCTTGCCTTTTTTAACACACTATGTTGATCAGGAAGTGTGTATATGATAAAAGCGTGGGTTTCTGAACCAAACTGCCTGGGTTCAAACCTTGACGCAACTTCTATGTATGTGCCCTAGAGCAAGTAACTTAGCGCTATTTGCCTCAGTTTTGTCATCTGCAAAATGATGGCAATATTGTGATTATGGTGATTATACCTATCTATTAAAGTTGTCAAAACATATAAAGAACTTTTAATTGTGCCTGGCACTGAGAAGCAAAATAAAATTGTTTTTGTGATCTTGGGGAATTGAGATAAACTCCCTAGGCCCTGGTTTCCCCTTTTATAACATGATTGACACTAAGGATGTTTGAGGCTCCACATAACTGGCTCTCCCTCTTTTTCTTCTTTATTCAAACTCATAGGGTTCTTCACACTAAGATTAAGTGTGTATCTAATCAAATCACATAAATATAAAAATTATCCCCTAAGATCTGATAGATGCCTTTTGTAAGATATTCAACAAAAAGTAAAATTAATAATCAAGATTTGTCACTACAAATCTCTATAATGAGCCTATTTCTTAGAAGCCTCCCCCCTCGTTACCGTAAGCAGTTACATAAGTGATACTAATGCTCACATGAAAATGCAGATGTCATATACGGGGTCCTATACCTAAATGATAATTGCCTAATGTTCCTGATTAGTGTTTGCACTTGAAGCAAATTAGCATTACATTAAACAATCCAAACCCAATGTCTTTTGCAATCACCTGAGACTGTGAGACAATTTATGTCTACGAATAATTTCTTTTAATGTCCATGTGCATATTACTGTAATTACCCCCCAGCTATGTCGCAGTGAACCAGCTCTCTGACCATCAAAAGCATTTAACATCATGTTCACATGTATACTAGTAATGCTGAAAGACATGAATGCAAAGGCTCTTCTGAAGTCGTCAAGGCCTAAAGTATCATAAAATGTCAGGGCTGGATGGGCCCTCAGCAGAGTAGTACAAACCTTATTACACAATTGAGGAAATTGAGACTCAGAAATCTGGTGTGAGGTACATAGTGAAGCTGGATCTTAACCATATGAATTGGGCTTCCTGTTTCCAAAAGTTAGTGACTCCTTTTTCATTGTCAGTGGGACCTCAGTGGGACCAGTAGAGATAAAAGTATCCAGCCTCCATCCTGGCTTCCATAAGCATCCACAACGCTCTGCCTTCTGGTGCAGGGCTCCTGCTGCCAGGACAGAGGTGACAGAGTCCCAGCTGCTGCCCCTAGGGATCCACCATCCGTGTTCTGGCCCAGGTCACCCTTCCCCTGAGCTACGCCCAGCTGTGTCTGACTGCAGTGCAGGCCCAGGCCTGTGGGACAGGAGACTTCTCTAATGGGTGACTTTCACGTGAGAATTCTGAGTCTCTTTCTACTCAGTTCCTCCTTCTTCCTCTTTCTCAGTTGTCAAAACAGCAACGTTGTTTTTCTATCTCCGCTCCTGCTTCCTTCCCTTTTTCTGTCACAGGCATTTCTTATCAAATTCTGTCTTGGTGTCAGCTTTAAACTCACACAGTCTCTGAAGTCAATTTGTTTTTCAGGAAATCAATGAGGAATTGGATAAGTTTCAAAAATGTGTTTCACCCTATATCGTGAAAAGAGTGTTGAAAAAAAAATAGAAACAAAATAAAGGAAAGTAAACCAATTAGGCTGAATGACAGATTCCTTAAAAGATAGACTATGCAGATGTGAAACACAACAATGAGATATAAGCAAGAGACAGGGATAAGAAAGAGTTAAAGGGATGCATGCAACAACTGCTCTAAATAAGAAATTAGAAAAGGAAGATGGAGTGTTTTTCATTGTTTTTCAATCAGAAAGAACGACTGCAGCTCAGTGATATTTATAAAAGAGGTAAACTCTCAAACAACCGCCTGGAATAAGCTTCTCAGAAGGAACCAGGAAAATATGAGGAAGCCTCTTCCTGGAGCTTCAGGTGGAGAATCCACAGCTGGGCATGGTTAGGGCAGCCGCTATGCACAAGGACTACATAAATATGGGCTTTTTGGACAGGGGGCAGTGTGTTCAAGATGGTCACAAATGCTTTACTATTCCTCCCAGAGATGTGGGTTCTAATTTCCCTCCTTTTGAATCTGGAATGGCCTCAATAACTAACAGAAGCCAGCACTTGGCAGAAATGATGTTCTAGGATAGGGGTGTCGAACTCAATCAGAGAAGGGGCCAAAATCTAAAATCCAGCCTAAATCGCGGGCCGAATGGTTTACTGAACAGTCATAAACTGTCATTGTGATGGAAACGCAGCGGAGTGCAGTGATGACAGCGCGGTGCGGGCCACATTGCAAGGCCTGGCGGGACGGATTTGGCCCGCGGGCCTTGTGTTTGACACATGTGTGGATGTCCAGGACCAGATCATAAGAAGCCTTGAGAAGTCAAAAGAGGGAAAGCCAATCAGATGCAGCAACTGGTGCTCATTTTATAAATTAAAGAATGAAACAAACTCACATGAGATTCAGGGCAGACTTAGAAATTCAGCTGAGTTTCCCTGAAAACAGGAGGGGAGTAACAGAAGGCAAGAGAACTTATTACTGCACACACAAGATGTAGCAGAAAGAAATGCTACTCCAGGCTAAAAGAGATGGAAAGGCAGTGCTCTAAGAATCACATGACCAATGGGCTCACTAGGTGCACAAAGGCCAGACATCAGGAATAATACTCTCCCTTGAAGATTGCTCAAGGCCTGAGCCATGCTCCAGCTAGGGGCAGGGCCAACAGCCATCATGACAAGGAACCAGAGCTCTTGTGCATCCTGGTCAAGTTTTGTGTGTGCTTTTTTCTCATTAAGCCCTAAAATAATTTTTTTTAAAATATATGACCCCTTGCACATTTTTTACTTGACAGGGAAAATTTTTCATCATATATTTTAAAAAAACAAAGTAGGGAAGGAGGTAACAAATTGTAAAAATATTGACATAAAATATAACCATTGTATTATTCTTATATAGTCAATGAAATCTAAATACGAAAACAACTTGATGCCATCATCATCCATTTAAAAATACTTAAATAATCTTTTTAACATTTGAACAATTTGCATTTTCCTTTTCATACTTATATTTCCACCCCAATTCTCCCTCAGAATTTTATACTTATGTCATACATGTAAGTGTTAAAGTGTTTTATCGCTCACCCTTATCATACTTAACATTGAAATTTTATTTTATTTCCTCTGATTCTAAGATGATAAGTGTTTAAAAATAGTCTCTTCTGGCCGGAACCGCTTTGGCTCAGTGGATAGAGCGTCTGCGGACTGAAAGGTCACGGGTTCTATTCCGGGCAAGGGCATGTACCTTGGTTGCGGGCACATCCCCAGTAGGAGATGTGCAAGAGGCAGCTGGTCGGTGTTTCTCTCTCCTCAACGTTTCTAACTCTGTCCCTCTCAATTCCTCTCTGTGTATAATCAATAAAATATATATTTTTTTAAAATAGTCTCTTCTTGGTTGCATTAGCATTACAGTTACCATCAGTACTATGGGTCAAAACAATATAGACTATAAGTTTAATAAATAATTACTATAAATCATAAAACTTAAAATATTAATAAATAGATCTCTTAGTAAGATGAATGAGGTGTTTGGTTTTTTTG